GTAAAACCATCTGTGTGGAGTTGGCGTTGGACTGGAGACACTGTATTTCTCTGTGGCAGTTGTGACAGCAATCAGGCGGCATTTCAGTGTGTAAAATGGTTTGCACCAGCAGTAATAGTGGGGAAGCTGAGGATGGGGCATTTGTTGGCCACGCTCCCACTTACCCCCATTGGTAGCATGGTTTAGTGGATCACAGAATCATAGAATCATTAAAGTTGGAAAAGATTTCTAAGATTGTTTAGTCCAATCATCAACCCATCACCATCATGACCACTAAACCATGTCCCTCAGTGTCACATCTACACACTTACTGAACACCTCCAGGGATGGTAACTTCATCACTTCCCTGGGCAGTCTGTTCCAATAACTCATTACTCTTTCACAGAAGAAATTCTTCCTAATATCCAACCTGAACTTACCTTGGCACAACTTAAGGCCACTATCTCTTGTCCTATTACAGTTGCCTGCAAAAAGAGGCCAACTACCACCTCACTACAACTTCCTTTTAGGGAGCTGTAGAGAGCAATAAGGTCTCCCCTGAGCCTCCTCCAGACTGAACAATCCCAGTTTCCTCAGTCACTCCCCATAAAATTTGTGCTCCAAACCCTTTACAGCTTCATTGCCCTTCTCTGGACACTCTCACAGAATCACAGAATCACAGAATCACCCGGGTTGGAAGGGACCTCAAGGATCATGTAGTTCCAACCCCCCTGCCTAGCAGGGCCACCAAACACACACATTCAGATCAGGTTGCCCAGGACCCTGTCCAACCTGGCCTTAAACACATCCAAGGATGGGGCATCCACAACCTCCCTGGGCAGCCCGTTCCAGGGCCTAACCACTCTCCTTGTATAGAACTTCCCCCTAACATCCAACCTAAATCTTCCCTCCTTCAACTTGGATCCATTTCCCCTAGTCCTGCTGTTGTCAGCCCTTTTGAAGAGTTTACTCCCCTCCTGGGTGTAGGTTCCCTTCAGGTATTGATAGGCTGCAATGAGGTCACCCCGCAGCCTTCTCTTCTCCAGGGCCTCAATGTCTTCCTTGTAGTGAGGGACCCAAAACTGAACACAGTATTCAAGGCGTGGCCTCACCAGTGCAAGCATAGGAGGATGATCATCTCCCTGCTCCTGCTGACTGCAATATTTCTGATACAAGCCAGGATGCCATTGGCTTCCTTGGCCACCTGGACTCACTACTGTCTCATGTTCATGCGGTTGTTGTTTAGTACCTCCAGATCCTTCTCTTCTGCACAGCTTTCCAGCCACTCTGCCCCAAGCCCACAGCAATTGGTGTTGTTGTGACCAAAGTGTAGGACCTGGCACTTGGTTTTACTGAAGCTTGTAATTGGCCTTAGCCCATTGATCCAGCCCATAGCACTTAAGTTTCATTGCGAATATTTTGGAGCAAAGCCAGCCATTCTGAATGACAATTTATTTACACAGGCAAGGAGAAATAGCTTCTTGGCAACTGTGTACAGACCAAATGCTGGTTTTCTATTTTAACTCCTTCTTCTTGGCCAAGACACAATGGCAATTGGCTTGTTTGAAAGATGGCAAGTTACCTACTGCAAAGAGCCCAAATGTGGAGAAAGCGAACACAAGTCCAAACTGCACTCTCAACTTACATCTCATTGAAATTCATAACATTGGTTCTGGTCCTGAAAAGCTTTTAAAATAATCAAAATAATTTATTTTAACTGCAAATCTGGATTTACTATAAAATAGACATGACGTGCTGGCCAGTCCAAGGAAATAAGGAAGTGTGTGGACATAGGTGTGTCAGACTGAAACCCGTTCTGACTTCAAGCATCTGCATCATTGGTTGCAAGCAGCCAGGAAAGGACAAGAAACAAAGCCAATCAAATGTGAATCATTGGGTACTTACCAGCAATTAGCATCATTTTTAAAACTGCCAAGAGTGACTAAGCTGACGTTCTAAGCACTACATTGTTTAGGAAGTTAACAGGAGGTTGGCAAAAAAAAAAAAAAAAATCTAACCTTAAAAAAAAAAACCAACGAAGTCATCATACTGTGAATGTCAGGGTTTCTCAGCTCCTCCTCTGCCACTACCTGGGTCCAGCCCTCTTGTAGTGTGTCACTGAGCAAACTGCAGCTCCTCTTTTGAGGGGTCTTTTGAGGTGAGTGAGCCCCAGCTCTGCCCACATGTGGTTCACCAGTGTGTAAGGGGAGAAAAGCAGTGAAACTGCTTCATTTCTCCTCTTTTCTGATCAGTGCCAGTGATAATGATTTCCCTGTTACGGCTTGTAGACATCAGCACACCACTGTGTCAATGCATAGGAGGGCTCAAATCTGAGTCTTAAATAAAAAGGGTTTTGGTTCCAGCACAGCATGTTTGTGAAACATGTACTGACAAGACAAAAAAAAAAAAACTGTTCTACATGGCTTGTAAAACATATGTTAAAAATTCTGCATCATAGACCAGCTTTAAATTATTCATTTTTAATTCCTTCAGCCTTGAAGAGCCTTTAAACAATCCTGCCACTGAGGGAACAGCTATAAAATAAAATACTGGCTACTTAAAATTATAGAGAAAAATGCTTTACCTAGACACGGTTTCTGAATTTTAAGATATGAACAAAGGGCTGGATCCCCACTTGGTGAAAGCTGATAGAGCTGCTTTGATGTCTGCATAGCAATCCCCCATCAGCAGCTGAAAGCCCTGGCCCTGAGTTTAGAATAGATTGCGTTTATCCACATAAGAAGACAAGCAAGATTTGCATGGTTAGTTCAAACTATTTCATATCCACTGAGCTGTTGAGGAAATGTTGTCTGTGAAACAAATCCTGGAGTCTTTCCCAAAAACATCTAAATGACACTTGGTAGGGAAACGCTGATATAAAGGGGAGCAGATCCAACCCTCCAGGCTGAATCCTGCTGTAATTACTCCTGCATTAACAAAGAGCATTTTGCTACCTGCACACACACTGGGGAGCATCAGAGAAGTTACAAGCATCGAGAGAAGTTAACTGATAGAACAAAGAGAAGTAGGTTCCATGCTCGCTGTTGCAGGGGGATGTGGTCTTGTTCTCTCTTCCTTGCTCAGATTCTCGGTGTTTGTGTTGGCAGTGGCTGAGACCTGACCTCCATGCCCCACAAATGTCCTCCTCCATGCCTCATCATGGCACTTCTCCACGCCCCAGCGAGGCCCTTCTCCATGCTACACCATGGCACTTCTCCATGTCCCAGCGAGGCCCTTCTCCATGCCCCACCGCGGCACTTCTCCATCACCTATAAAGGCCCTTCTCCGTGCTCCATCAAGGCCCTTCTCCATGCCCCACCAAGGCCTTTCTCCATGCCTGACCACAGTGCTTCTCCATGCCCCACCAAGGCTCTTCTCCATGCTCTGCCATGGCACAGATACAGGATATCTTAGAATCAGAATGGCTTGGGCTGGAAAGGACTTCAAAGACCACCTAGTTCCATCTCTCCATCCTTAGGAGATCTCATCACTCTGTCCATAACCTCAGTGTTTTTTTAGGTGGGATCCCAAAGGCTGCTATATAGTCTGAGAACTGGCAAGCCGTTCCCAGAGACTTCCTCACAGACAGACCCACTCTACCCACAGTCATCAGGAAGCAAATGAAGCAGAAAACTCAACCACTTTGCTTGAAGGTATAGGAGGGTTACAGAAGCTGTCATGGTTGATCACACAGAGTTCCCTCAGGAGCTATCCCACCTCCAGCAGCTCTTGGAGAAAGAGCTAATTAATACTGTTTCCCCCCCAACAGCAATTCTTTGTCTTAATACACTCTATGTGAAATTTTGAACAAAGTATTTTTTTTTTCACCCTCTTTACTTTTAACTTCTTCCACACCCCACTTAGGAAGGACACAGCACGATGTTGCTCTATGGCACCCAGAGGCAGAGTTGGGATGTGGGAGTCCCCCTGTGGGTTTATGAGCTAGTTTATGGATCTGTGGGTAAATGGGTCCATGCTCAGCCTGTCACAGGTGCTCAAACCAAATGCAAATATCTGCAGAGTGGTAAGCAACGTGGCACCGGTCTGCAACCACACTTTACGCCTTTAACTAATGCAACCATGGAAATGAGCTCGGCAATGATTGATGACTTACAGCTCCTACATAGCACCTTACAGCTTCCAGTGGAAGTCAGTTGTGCTGGATGCAATAAACCAACAACGTGGGCAGTTTGGGTAAACAAATTAATAACTGTAAACTCATATGCTTCACACAGCTACTTATTTCCCAGCTGCCCAGCATCCTTCAGAGCTCACATATACTGTGGATGTGTATCTTCTATAGCCCACAGTGGGATCGGGGAGAGGAGCAGAGCGGTATTTGCTTTTCTGGAGGTGCTATAAACTCTGTGCTTCTCGGCTCAGCTCCAACCCTCGCACACCAACACTAAAAAAGCCAGCATTATGTTGTTAAATAGTTAGAGCATACACTTTATCAGTTGAATGTATCTGTCTGGGGTTTTCTTTAATGACGCTTTTTAATTCAACAGCATTTTATAGCAGTCTTAAAAATGTCAGATGCGGGACACAAGGATGATATTATTTATGATGCACACTTTTTTATTATTATCATTAATGACGCAAAACACACTTTCACCCCTGAGGAGCACTGAATTTCCTTCCACTGAATTTTCTTCCCGCTGCCATCACCTCTGGGATCCAATCTTGGTGTCCCAGCGATGGGGGTGGATGGAAGGCACTTCAGGGTGGTGATCTGGGTAGCAGGTAGAAAACGTCGAGTAGGAGAGAGAGCGGTCTCGGCACCCATCGGACAGGGCAGACCCGCGCACAACACGCGAGAGGCCGGCTGCCCGGGTATTGCCCTGCCCAGCTCCGAGGAGGAGCCGCGGGGGCTCTGCGCCGTCCACGTGGCTGGCTGGGGGCGCGCTGTATGAGCGTGCGGGAGGCCGGGCGGGAGGGAAGGGGAGGGACGGGGCGCCCGGAGCGGCTCCGCGGGCAGCGCAGACAGCAGTAACAGGAGCAGCAGCAGCAGCAGCAGCAGCAGCAGCACCGCCGCAGCGCCGATCGCCCATCGCCGGCCATGGGGTTTGGCAGCCCGCCGGCCTCTCGCGCCCCGCCGTGAGTACCGCGGGACCCCTCTGCCTTCCTCCTCTTCCTCCTTCCCTCCCGCGTACCTGCAAATCCCGCTCACCCCGCTGCAAACGGCGCGGCGGGAGCCAACACCCCTCCTCACTCCTCATTAAGTTCTTTATTTGGGGGTTATTTCTCTTCTCGCCCAGAAGCAGAAAGAGCGGCTCCGGCGCCGCGCCGCTCCTTTGCGGGGAGGCAGCGGCCGCGCAGCCGGGAGCGCCCCGCGGGGAGCGGCCGCGGGGGCGGCGGGAGCGGCGCAACTTCAGGACATCCCCGGGGCCGCTCCGGGTCCCGCCCGCCGCCTCCGAGCCGCCCGCCCGCCTCAGTCCCGCACCCGCCTGTCTATTATGATCATTATTATTTTTTCTCTTTTTTTTTTTTTTACTCGCTCTGCCGGTGTTGCTCCGTTAGAGGAAGGAAGCGGACCTTAGGTACCCGCACATCTCCGCCGGCAGTATTAATTTCCAGCGCAGTGTAAATAACTAATCTTCGAGGTCAGCAGTTTGTCAGCTGTTCGTATGGCTCTTGGTGTCTCTCCTAGCCAACAGTTGGTGCTTGCCCTGGTGGATCTTAGCTTTGTTGAAAATGGAAACAAAATGGTCAAAATTGCTTTGGTGTGTGTTGACTCATTTGAGATGTGTGGTTTTTGTACAACTCTTTATAAAGCTTGAGTTCCTCTGTGTTCAGTACTCCAAAATAACTCATTGATATATAACCTTAAGACAGAATTATATTTTTGCCTGCTAGGCATGCATGTGAAGGGAGAACCTCCCTGGCTATGGATCATTTCGAGGAGATTGGAAGGGTGACAAAGCCCTTGTAATCTTCTGGGTCTGTTTTCATAAGCTCCTGAAGCTCTCTTGGAAAAGGAAATTAAATTTCAGTATGGAAAAGAAACAGGAAATGTGAGGATATGAAAAAGAAACTCCACCTTTTATTTCGATCCCATCCTTGTGCATTCCTCCTGAGCGTTGGTGCTCTTGACTGACATAAGGCACAAAGAAGCATTGCCCCTTTCTGGAGCCTTCCTGCCACTTGACAGCTGAGAGTGCACTCTCCTCCTGTTTGTTAGGCACATGGCTTTAGCTGGAGGGCTGGCTCTGTGCAGAGCATTCGCTTTGGAATAGTTGGGTTCCTACTTGGTCTCCACTTGGATCCCTGCTTAGTGTCCCATGTGATCTTTTGCCTGTATCTTCACCCATTCTCAATTTTTATGGCCTGACCTACAGCCTGTGGGACGCTGCCCGCTGTAATGCTTTGGCAGAGCTGCTCTTGTGTTAGAAGCTGGGGTTTGCCCCAGGCTACCTGTCCCACTTTTAGCTGTGCTTTAGGTCCCTTCTGGGAGCATAATGATTTTGAATGCTTTTGAATTTTCAAGCTTATGAATGGTTGGGTGTGAATTGAAAGAGTTTGTGAGTTGTTTTCTTGTTTTGCACTTACTTTCTTGGTTATCCTGGAGGCGGCAGATCCTCCGTGTAGGTCCGTGGGGAACTTGTTGCTGTATCCCCTTCCCACTTCCTCACTCTGCTTCATTTGGGTGCTGCTAGGAGGTAACATTTCAGCAGGTTTAAATCCTAAGCAGCGACAAAGCTGCACTCTGTAGCCCGACCCAAGCAGCTTGTGGTCTCTTCACCACCAGGTTTTTCAAGTATGCTTCTGTCAGATATACTTCTGTTGCACTTTTCTGCTAGGAGCACGTGAGAGCACTGTCTGAAAGAGCAAAAAGAGAGAACAGTTCAGTTCCACATTCTTTGGGCTTGCTGTTTGTGTATGGTTTGCTTGTGCATGGGAACACTGAGTTGCTCTGTTTGTATCAATTTTTCACACATCCCAACCAGAAGAGAACTCTCAGCCTGGATTGCAGTTTTTCTTCCAAACTTGATATTACTAACAGTACAAGAATTGCAACTGCAAAGGTAACTTTTAACACTAAACATCATTTTGTTTAAGACTTTACTTCACCTAGTCAGTTTGCTTTTCTGTTGCTAGAAAACTGGGAGTAATTTGAGAGGAAATCGTGGTCATGCAGATGGAAGTTTCATCCCCTTGGCTATCACAGCGTCCTTTATCTCAAATACATTGCAAATGCTGCTGTTAAATGATAGCAGTAATTCCTTTTTTTTATTAAGGATGCCTTGCAGAAGTGTTTTCAGAAGTGTAGTGAAGCAGAAATGTGCTTCTAAGAGCAGATCTGGCTCCACAGCAAATTTAACATGCTGTTAATCCCACCACCTGGTGGAGCTTTTTATGGCGCCAGCTGAGGAACGCCGGATAAGCACACGTTTTTGTTTGGGTTTGCTGGCCAGATGCCGTGAGTAGAGTTGCTTTAACTTTTTCCTTCCTCGCACCAGGCTTACTTTTCTGTGCATTCTACTTATTCTATACTTTGCAGAAGGGAGCACGAGCACGAGGCTGTGGGTGTCTCATCTGAAGCAACATTTCTGTGCAGATAGTTAAATCAGTGACAGATTTCCTTCCTGCCTGCCCTTCTCCTTCCCTTACAGCGCACTTTTTTTCCTTTCTCCTTTTTATTTCAGAAAGATGATGTTGGCATAGATCACAACTGTAAACTGGGCGTCCAGAAGCTGCTTGTTTTCACTTAAGGGGCAAAAACTACTTGGGGAAAGTATCTGATCAGGAAGAGAGAAGCAGCAATATCTTTTTGCTTATCTGAGATTACTGGCAAAGGTTAAAGCATGGGGGTGCATGTAGGAGAAGGGATTCCTTTGCCCCTGTCTGACTTATGTAGTTCTGCTTGATTGAATCAGAACATGTAATGTTTGTTATCTGCACAGTGAAGATGCTGATAAGTCAGAGGTATGCAAATTGACAGCTCATACATTAGAGTGGAATTAGGTATCGCAGTGTGAAACTTTCTGTTAGCAGTCCCCAGAAAACATCTGTGTGTGCGTTTATGTTGCTTTTATTGCCTTCATGTCTGTGTCTGAAGACTGACCAGGAAGTGGCAGCTCCTGTGTACCTCTCAAGTTCTGCTGTGATGCATCTGGTCCCATATCTGGTCCCATTTATCCCAAGGTGGATAAATGCCTTTGCAGTTTATCCATATTCATTTAGCCTTATAAGTATCTGCTCCAGTGTACTGTGCGAGCCATGTCCCAAGCTTCAGGATCTGCACGTTTGATCTCCACAGAGCATAGGGGGAGTGCAGTTGTTAACCAGTAGGAATCTGTCTTTCAGCATCTTGAACACAATGTGGTTTTTAAGTACCAAACTCAAATACTTAATGGAAAATACAACAAGCTCGTGTTGATTGGGTTTGTCCAACATACATTGCTGGGAAGTACAGAACATGAGGAGGAACGGATGTGGTCAGCCCACAGGGACCAAACATGACCTTCCCCATATTTTGCTGCCTGCCATAGAGCTGCTGCTGCCATGGAGGTACCTGCATGTACTCTGGGTGTCCCTAAAACTGCTCTGAGCTGGAGCCATTGTTATCCATCCTCTCGGAGGATTTTTCTGTAGAGCAAAAGCCAGCACAGGGAAGTTTAAGTATTCAACTGAATGCTGGAAGCAAGATTAAAATGCCTCTGGACTGAATAAATTGTTATTGAAATTTTCCCAAGATTGGCGTATTTCTTTAAGTTATTACTTTCTAGCTGTTGATGCACTAAAACAAAGGTTGTTCCTTTTAAAGGACACAACATTATTTCTGGAAGCTGGATCTTCAATCAAGGACTTAAACTTACATATCTGAAGTGCTGGATGTGCTGACACATCACAGTGCTGCACCAGCTCAACAGAGAAATCCAATTCTATCAAATCTGCCAGCTCAGTTAATATGACCCTGCTAGGGAAGTGTAAGGTGTCACCTCTTGATTTTTAGGTAAGAATCAGGTTCTCTATCTCCAGAGTCAGTGAGTGCTATGTGTGGCCAGAACTGCATTTATTTTTAAGGTACCTGCTTACAGCGTGGCATGCAAAACTGAAGATCAGGTTAGAAGATGTCGTCTGAGTATTAGGGTCTAAGTACACCAGTTGGAGTCCTACAGAAAGTCCCTGCTTGGGCTCAGTCTGGAAATAGAGTACTTTGGTCTGAGATTTCTACAGAATTGTATGGAAAGAGCATGGTGTTGAGCTACCTGCAAATTGAACTAGAGCTGACCTCTCTGTGTGAGTCTCTTGTATGGTGCCCTGCAGCTATCAGGGTGCAGTAAGGACATTCATGCCTGTATCTTAAGTTCCTTTAATCTGATGGGATATAGTGATGCTTTTCACATGATCTGCCCTTGGGCTGCATTAGTGTGAGCCTTTAGCTTTATTGCTCCATGCATGTCATGTTTTCTCTTACTAATTCTTGCTGAATAGGTTTGTGAAGGTGATCTGGCTTAGCTTTTGGTTTGGGGGGGGAAACATAAGCAGGTCAAGATAATCATCAAATCATAATTTTGGTTATGAAAAAAACAAGGCATTCATGCTTTTTGGTTCACTTGAACTTAATTCTGTGTCAATTTCAAACGCTTTGAGATAAAGCAAAGAATTTTGACGAGAAGAACCAAAAGGAAAGTTTGCCTTTAGAAATATCAGGATGATTCCCATGGCTTTGTCCACATTTCTCACTGTGTAGCTCTTCTGCTTGGCAGCCAAGTGGTCCAAGGTTTGCCATTTGGGTTTCTAACACAAAATGTTAATATTAGCAAAAAATAGCAACACTTTTGTGATAAAGAGTCAGGCAGTAGTGAAATTCCCATGTCAATTATATTCAGATTTTTCAGGAAGCATGAAGCGTGGACATGTGCCATTGTGCCCTGCCACAGTGACACACTGTGTGTTTGGATCAAAGTTAAACATATTGGGTGGAGTCGGTGTAGGTTTTTTTGGCTTTTTGGTTTGTTTTTTTTTTTGTGTGTGTGCCATCTGCCATCAAAGCACTGGGTGTGTGAGAGGCTGAGAGCTTCCCTGAAGCTTTGGGGTGAGTCTTCCTTATTTTCTCTCCATTTATCTTCTTTATGATCACATACTGAAAT